GACATTTTTCAGATTTTTTTTTTTTAAATATAGTAAAGTGAAAGTATATAATACTATTACAAATTGTTTGAACTTAATTTATTATTTGAATAATAAGCTTAATGCATTTAATTAATTTTCAAGGGCATTGTTGACCAACAACATAAGAATTGAAACCCTATTTGATAAATTTGAGTTACAAGTAGTGAATGCCAGCTCTATGCCATCTGCCATATTGAAATTAAAAATAAAAATAAAATGCATTTACCAAAATTGAAATGGATAGCCGGATAGGTAGATTTTTACAGGAGTTGAATGTTGACTTGCTCTTTGCTTATTCATGAATCATATGAGATAAATGGATTATTGACCAGACAAAGCAGCATGCTACTTTTAAAATTTTCCTTACAACTTCACATTTATCGAACATTACATTCATTCATTTTAAAACCCATTTTTTAAATCAACGGATCTTGACAATTCACTAGTTGTACAACTAGATTAATCCAAAGACAAAAGGCGTCAACCTGCCTTGTCCATGAGGGGTTAATCGATCACAGTGGTGCATGGTCAATCGACTACATTTCCAATATTTGGTTGACCACGAGGGGACGATTGTTGATGCGACTCAGACCCACTCAACAAATGAATGACATTTAGGGTGTGTTTGATAACACCCTTTTTCCTTGGAAAATGGAATGTCTTTTCATTTTCCTTGCAAATGGGTTGTTTGATGGCAACTTTTTGCCATGAAATTTATCACCATTATTTTCCTTCCAAGCGCATATTTCTATGTGTGAAAGGAAAATGAGGTGGGAAAACAAATTCTAGAATCTGGTTTTTTTTTTTAAGCAATGGAAACAAATTTCATAATCAAGTGTAAAAAAAAATTTCGCTTTCATGGACAATTTTGATGCAAACGAAGACCAAACGAACACTAAACTTTGATGGGAAAAAAGATTTTTTAGGAAACATTTTTTTTTTCATTTTTTTTTACTTTTTGGCAATGGAAACAAATTTTATAACAAATTGTGGAAAAAATTATCACTTTAATGAACAATTTCCATGTAAAATAAAGTCAAACGAATAGAAATTTTAAAAATTTTCCTGGGCGGAAAATTATACAAATCAAACACACTTAAAATCATTTATGAAAGGGTAGACATTACCGCTTTGGGTTTCGTGGGTGGCATGAGTAGGTTGGTTTTAATTTTTTACTTTTCCTTTTATGGCCCACAGAAATATCGTGGGACGGAGCAACTTTTGCTATAAACGCGTGAGAGCTAACAAAACCAAGAGTGACGCCTATAACGGCGGCTCCTCCCCGTTTGATGGGTCTAGCCACCACCATTTGTGGTGGAGTTTGGTGGCACGGCCACCACATTCTAATTTACAAAAAATTACATTTTCATATTTTTTAATCATACATTTTTTTAAAAAAATCACGTCCGAAAAAGTCAATTTTATGGCTTAATGTTTCTTACCAGAACCCATCAAAATTGAGAGGCCATGGTCAAATTTTGGGGTGAAATCTCAACACAAACGTGTAACGTTTCTTTATTGTTAAAAAATGTGTGTCAAGAGCAGTATACAAAAAAATTAAATGTGTGGCTAGGCAGTGTAATCAAACTTCAAGCTTTCACAAATCTAAGTGGATCTACGTCAATTCTAGACGTAGAAAAGTGTAAAGTGCAACCAGACGACAAGGCGGACTTCGGCCAGATGTTCTTTTTTAAAAAAAATGGTTGAGTGTAAAATTTTGGAAGGTTCAACTAAAAAATTGGTTAAAATCTAAGTCAAAATTAACAATTAAATGTTAGTAACATTTTTTATAGAATCACAACTTTTCAATTACATATTTTATTAATTAATTTTTAATAAAATTTATTCAAATCTATTTTTTATCTAAATTAAACAGCACAAGTTAAGAAAGTTATGAACTACCATTTCTCTTATAGTAGTGAAAAGATGGACGAGGCGGAGAGATATCTGGCCCAAAAAAATATATTATATGAGAAAATTACCTTGAAACCTACATTTTTGGGCTCAGCGGCCAACGACGAGCTTTGCTCGTAGAGAGCCATCGCTGCTTTAGGGTTGAGTGTTGGCATTTTTGTTGAGCGGCTTGAAATTCATTTGGTGGGTGGTTGTTTTGATCAGATCTATTGTTTAATGTGGTGGTGTAGATGGTTATTTGATCAGATGTGGTGGTTTCATCTGATATGTTGTTTAACCAGTTTTGGTGGTAATTGGTGTTTTGCAAATTGTGCTTGTGATTTCCTAATCTGTGGAGTGATTTTGTTGTTGCTGTTATTGTTAGTTCTATTGGTGGTGACTGATGTTATATGCGGTGGTATGGCATGCTGGTTGCAGCTACGAGCATTGGATCTTCATGTGGTGGCGGTTGTGCGGAATGCTGGTGGTCGTCGTGGTTGTTTGTGACCAATTTTGAGTTGATTATGACCGATTGTGACTTGAGATTTATCTTGGTCATAGACAGTCACATTCAATACAAATTTGGTCACAATTGGTCACACCAAAAACAAAGTTGTCATGGTTAATCCATCTCGTTTTGATGTTGAATTGGGAAGTTCATATAAGTTGGTAACTCATTCATGGAAAATATTGGGAGTGTAGGTAAGCTCCTCTCTGATGTTAAGTAGGGTGCAGCCTGATATCCATTCCATTCTGGATTTTGGAGAAGGTATAACTTGGGTTGTAGGAAGCATTGACGGTACAAACGGTGCAGTTTCATGCGATGCCCTTGGTCATTTGTGGTGACCCTATGCGATCAAGTATGTGTTTGTTGTGACTATTTGTGC